TCTTCTGAAGAGATTAAAGTGTCCAATGTTGGATATGTTAAAGTGTTGTATTATTTAAGGTGAGGGGCTCTTTTGAACCTGGGTGCATGTGTGGTCTAATGGATAGCAGAAAGCTGAGTTCAAATTCCAGTCAGGTTCATTGCATTCACTTACACATAAATATCCCTGGTAAAGGTATGAATACATCTCCTCCTCTCAGCTACAGGTAAATAGCAGGACAGACTTGCCCCTATAGCCTTGGTTGGCAACTCATTTAGGAGGAGAAAAACTCTGAATTTAAACCAGCCTGAGAGTGCTGGGCTCTGTCAGGCTATCTTGCTCAAGACACACCACTGTTGCCATAGCTGTAGTGCATGCAGTGCCTGTACCACTCTAATGGCTTATGGAACTCCTGATGCTCCATTGTACCTGTCAGTGCACATATGCATAAATTAATGTCACAGATATATGTTTAATATACTATTGTGTATGAGTGTGTATTTGCGTATTGGTTTCTTACAATCAAATCATGCTGAGAACTCCAATCCTTCTTCAATCATTGAAGTTAAGCAATATTGAACTCGGTCTTAGAGGGGGGACCACTTGAGAACACCGAGTATTGTAAGCGACCTCCTACAATCTGGAATATGTTGCAGCTTATACTAATGCACAAAGAATTGATAAGCTTTAAAAAAAAAAACAGATCAATCATTCAACTGTAATGCTTATGTAAAATAGACTATCATAAAAGCACTGATATTCAGAGAACTTAAAACGATTACTTGGTCACTTATTTTAGTGCATCATTTTACTTACAATTATTGCCACATGACGCAAACAACAGTCAGTGAATTATTTAAACAAATAAGCCATAAATAATCAAGTGTGCTTTTTTATGGGCATCTATCACTCATAATATTACCAACTAAGAATTTTTATATTTACATAAGTAGTGAAGTAATCGTTGTCAGCAATGCAGTTACCATATTTTCTGACACACTTTTTTTCCTAAAAAATGCCCTGAAAAATATGTGTGCGTCTTCCAAGACGAATGTAAGGCAACATCCAGGCTCAGGTAAGCTTGGATGGTCGTCTAATTGGCTTGACTGATATGGACGTAGATTTGTATCTTGAGCTATTCCACTATAATCTGAGCTAATTCAGCCTTTTATATGATGTAACCTCAGTACTTAGCTGTTACAAGTATTTCAAAGACTATAAACCTTCCTGGAGCCAAGCCACAAGCTTAAACATGCTCTGTTTACTAGCAGTGATGGGAGCCTTTTTGCTCTTGACTAGTATGTCATTGTCATACAAACAAAATTGGACGAGTGGTTAATGGAAACATTATGTGGTACCAGTATGTGAGGGACACATGGTGAATGTGTTGTCATATAAGAATGATTTTTTTTTCTTAGAAATTTCTTTCCAATATTAGGGTGTGTCTTCCAAGCTGCAAGGTTTTTGTAAGACAGGAAATACAGTAATCGAAATAAGTGTGTGTGTGTGTATATATATATATATATATATATGTATATATATATATATATATATGTGTGTGTGTGTGTATATATATATATATATATATATATATATATATATATATATATACATGTGAGATATGTTTTGCGTTAGTACGATGAAAAAAAACGACGAAGTTTCCCCCACCACTTCCACAATAACACCAATACATGCAATCTACATAAACCCAAATTTTTAAAAATATCAATCAGTTTGTCTGACGATCGCTAAAGCGTGAAACCCAGGGTCACAAACTCACATCTATCCAACCAAATATATGTATATATATATATATATATATATATATTAGTGTATTGGGGTAGTAGATCATTATTTAAGCATATATTGTTAAATATAACAGACAATGAACATCTATTATGTCTGATCATGAGCCATTTTAAAGTTCATATGTTTGCTTTAATTTCGGAAGAAAATTAAGACAAAAATTGTGCAACATTTGGATATTTTTTATTAAGTTGGTTCTTGATCTAAGCTTTCGACTCACATGAGCCATCTTCAGATGTGGTTATATGGACATTTTAACAAAGATATTCACCTTCAAAGATGATATTTTGTTATTTTGACTTAGAAGATTGCAATGCAACATTTGTGTGATGACTTGAGGTACCCAAAGGGTTGTATATGTTGGATACCCAAACAATCAAGTGGTGCAGACATAGATAAAAGCTTCTTTTCAGAAGGAATGAAGCAACAATGAACGATAGCAGGAGTGCATCACCTTTTATTAGGAATCTATGATGAAATTTATTTAGCTTAGAAAAATATTGCATCATGCGTGATTGCATTGTTCGTATGTAGTTACCCCATGTGTTACCTACCCTCTGACCTATCCAGACCAAACCAAGTGAATCCCTGAATAAATAACCAAATACATCAAAAACACTATTTCTGTTTTCATTTCTCACTGAAGCATTAATTTCACCTTTCTCTTCCTTGTGAATATGCACAGGGCTTTTCCCAGTTTTAGTGCACCCCAATGCGAATGGGAATAGAGATACAACATGAAATTATTTGTCTGGTCAGTAAAAAACTGGAGGATGGCTTTGTTGTATATTTAAACCATCAAGATTTATTTATTACTAGTTTAAAATCTGCCCTCTTGGGCAGCATTTAAGCTAACTCCTGTGGAGGACTCTTGGTTTGGCCATCATCACAATAGTTAGGTTGGAGTAGATGCGATAGGCAACAATAAACTATAGAAGATCTCAAAATTGATCACTGCATTTAAGTATTGCATTAATATTTAAGCTTACCGTTTACATTTATAATATATATATATATATATATATATATATATATATATATATATATACCAGCTTAAAAGCCATCCTATCTGGTGGCATTTAAACTACCTCCTGCAGATAGCTCTTTATTGGGCCGTCATCACAATAGGTAGGGATGAGTAGATGCGATAGGCAACAATAAACTATAGAAGATCTCAAAATTGATCACTGCATTTAAGTATTGCATTAATATTTAAGCTTACTGTTTACATTTATAATATATATATATATACCAGCTTAAAAGCCATTCTATCTGGTGGCATTTAAACTACTTCCTGCGGATAGCTCTTTATTGGGCTGTCATCACAATAGGTAGGAATGAGTAAATGCGATAGGTAACAATAAACTACAGAAGAACTCAAAATTGATCGCTGCATTTAAGTATTGCATCAATACTTAAGCTTACCTTTTAAAAGTCCAACGATAATTCTTCTGCCGCCACTTAATTTAAAGACAATTTAATGTATGTAGGTCATTACTTTCTGTACAGAAATTATTTTTATTTCATGGGTGATTTTCGCTGGATTTTGCAATTAATTTTGATTATCCCCAAATTTATTTCCAAGTTATAAAAATTGTTATCATACAAAAAAATTTGTCGCAAAAAATCATGTAAAAATTTTGCAAAAAACATTGAAAAGTTGGGAATCCAAAATTTCAGGATTCTGGGTCTAGATCTAGCCCAGAATGTTTTTAATTTGTTCATGGAGTCGACCTGATTCCAAAATAGTATATGTTGAGCTACAGACTCTAGGAGTAAGGTTGAATACATGGACAATTTGATTTTGAAGCACTATAATTTGAGAACAGTAATTTTTTCATTTGAACATGAGCTATTGAAACTTAGAGATTTGTGTCCCTTTGTTTTTATCAGTAGCAGCCAAGATGGTGGAACCTGTTAACAATGGCAGTAATGAAAACATAAGAATCCAAGTTTTAGGATTGCGGGTCCTGATTCTGCCTGAAATGTCTTTAATTTGCTGATATGTTGTGCTGCTGCCTCTAGGAGCACTGTCCCATTTTTGGGGATGGTGGGTATTAATAGAAACCTATAATTAATACCAGAATTTATCTATAAACTTATAATCAATACTGCATTTTTATATAAGTTTTTTGTGTCTTTTCAGCAGGGTAGTTCAAGCGCAGGAGACACTCTTGAAGAGAAGATCCTGCGACTGGAATCAGACAAACAGGGTCTGCAGTTGCAGATCAGTGTTCTAAAGGACCAGCTTGATGCTCAGGATGAAAAAATACGAGAATTGGAGTTTTGTCTGGATGACAAAAGGTCACGTCTTATTAATGCAGAACAGATGCTTCAAAATGTAAGTCAAGGACTTTTAAAATCTGTCTATATTTCTGAGATGAGGTATTATCTACATTATTTACATTATTCGGACTATTGTCCTCATCTTTGTCGCCATATTTATCACAACGTTTCGGCCGATGTACGCTCCGGGCTTCTTCAGGTGGTTGGAATGTCGAACTGAACCCTTTATTTCGCTCACTGGGGTAGACTGTTCTAGTTCCATGTGCCATATTTAATGGATGTCAGTTATCAGTTATCTCCTGTTAATTTTCCCTCTGGAAGTTCTCCACTGCCTTAACCGGGTATTGAACTCACACTCTTTGGGTTGTGTCACTGGATCTAATCAAGGACACATGGCACAGTGGATAAAGTTGTTGGTTAGATCCAGTGACAAGACCCAAAGAGTGTGAGTTCAATACCCGGTTAAGGCAGTGGAGAACTTTCAGAGGGAAATTAGGAGATAACTGATAACTGACACCCATCAAACATGGCACGTGGAACTAGAACAGTCTACCCCAGTGAGCGAAATAAAGGGTTCAGTTCGACATTCCAACCACCTGAAGAAGGCCGGAGTGTACAATGGCCGAAATGTTGTGATAAATATGGCGACAAAGATGAGGACAATAGTCCGAATAATGTAAATAATGGACTTTTAAAATATTTGAAAATTTATTGTTTTCCGCAATCCCATGAATTACTTGTGGCAACTTTTGATTAAAATAAATGAAAATTCTTTTTTTCTGCTTCTGCTTCTATTCTTCTTTGCCCTCATTTTTTTTTCTCTTTCTTTTTCCTTTCTCTTTCCATCTCAATAATCTTCTTCTCTTTTCTCCTTGCACTCTACCTTCTCTTTTTTTTTCACTCTTTTTCTTTTTTTCATTTCTCACCTTATGTCTATCTTTCATCTCATTACCTGCTGTCTTTGCTTTCTTTTGCCTACCTTTTCTTCGGTGTTACATAATCTTCCCATCTGTCACTTTCTCCATAAACTTTTCTTACATTTCCCTTTTTCTTCTCCTGCCCAGACCTGAACATCTGTTTTTCTTTTCACCAAACCACTGCTGCCATCCCCCTTCATTCTTCTTGCCCTGTCTCCTTGTCTTGTTGCTCCCAGCCACGTCTTCTTGTTTCCGGTCATGTCTTCTTGCACCCTGCCATGTGTTTTTGCTCCCTGTCATGTCTTTTTTTCTCTCTCCTTGCTACCGGTCATGTTTCCTTGCTTCTGGCAATCTTCGTGCTCCCTACCATGTCTCCTTAGTCCCTGCCTTGTCTCCTTGTCTCTCTTCTTGCTCCTGGCCATGTTTCCTTACTCCAGGTCATGACACCTTACTCCCTGCCTTTTCTTGCTCCCTGCCTTGTCTCCTTGGCCTGTGCCCTGTTTCCTTGTCTGTCTCCTTGATTCTGGTCATGTTTCCTTGCTCCTGGCCGTGTCTCTTTGCTCCTGACCACTTCTCCTTGCTTCCTGCCATGTGTTCTTGCTCCCTGTCATGTCTCTTTGTCTCTCTCCTTGCTACCGGTCATGTTTCCTTGCTTCCAGCAATCTCCTTGCTGCTGGCCATGTCTCCTTAGTCACTGCCCTGTCTCCTTGTCTCTCTTCTTGCTCCTGAGCCTGTCTCCTTGCTCCTGACCATGTCTCCTTGTTCCCTGCCTTGTCTACTTGGTCCCTATCATGTCTCCTTGGTCTGTGCCCTGTCTCCTTGTCTCTCTCCTTGCTTCTGCCCATGTCTCTTTGCTCCTGGACATATCTCCTTGCTCCCTACTATGTCTCCTTGCTTTTGTCCATGTTTCCTTGCTTTCAGAAATCACCTTGCTCCTGGCCTTGTCTCCTTAGTCACTGCCCTGTCTCCTTGTCTCTCTTCTTGCTCCTGAGCATGTCTCCTTGCTCCCAGACATGTCTTCTTGGTCCCTGCTATGTCTTCTTGTCTCACTCCTTGTTCCCGACCATGTATTCTTGCTCCAGGCTATATTTCCTTGCACCCTGCCATGTCTTCTTGGTTGACGCCCTGTCTCCTTGTTTCTCCCTTTGTTTCTGGCTATGTTTCCTTGCACCCTGCCATATCTCCTTGCTCCTGGCCATGTCTTCTTAGTCCCTGCTCTATTTTATTGTCTCTGTCCTTGCTCTCTGTGGTGTCTCCTTGTCTGTCTTCTAACTCACTGCCATGTTTCCCTCTAACCTAGTTTTTTTTCTCCTTACAATGTCTCCCTTTGTCTCTGTCTTCTTGTTCCCTGCACTAAACCCTTTTTTGCTTAGTTGTTTTGCCATGTCTCCTTGATTTCTGCCATGTCTCCATCTCACTCTTCTTTGTCTCTGTCTTGTTGCTCTTTAGCATGTCTCCTTCTGTCTCTCTCTTGTTGCTCCCTGTCATGTCTCCTTCTGTCTCTCTCTTGTTGCTCCCTGTCATGTCTCCTTCTGTCTCTCTCTTGTTGCTCCCTGTCATGTCTCCTTCTGTCTCTCTCTTGTTGCTCCCTGTCATGTCTCCTTCTGTCTCTCTCTTGTTGCTCCCTGTCATGTCTCCTTCTGTCTCTGTCTTGTTGCTCCCTGTCATGTCTCCTTCTGTCTCTCTCTTGTTGCTCCCTGTCATGTCTCCTTCTGTCTCTGTCTTGTTGCTCCCTGTCATGTCTCCTTCTGTTTCTGTCTTGTTGCTCCCTGTCATGTCTCCTTCTGTCTCTGTCTTGTTGCTCCCTGTCATGTCTCCTTTTGTCTCTGTCTTGTTGCTCCCTGTCATGTCTCCTTCTGTTTCTGTCTTGTTGCTCCCTGTCATGTCTCCTTCTGTCTCTCTCTTGTTGCTCCCTGTCATGTCTCCTTCTGTCTCTCTCTTGTTGCTCCCTGTCATGTCTCCTTCTGTCTCTCTCTTGTTGCTCCTTGTCATGTCTCCTTCTGTCTCTGTCTTGTTGCTCCCTGTCATGTCTCCTTCTGTCTCTGTCTTGTTGCTCCCTGTCATGTCTCCTTCTGTCTCTGTCTTGTTGCTCCCTGTCATGTCTCCTTCTGTCTCTGTCTTGTTGCTCCCTGTCATGTCTCCTTCTGTCTCTCTCTTGTTGCTCCTTGTCATGTCTCCTTCTGTCTCTCTCTTGTTGCTCCTTGTCATGTCTCCTTCTGTCTCTGTCTTGTTGCTCCCTGTCATGTCTCCTTCTGTCTCTGTCTTGTTGCTCCCTGTCATGTCTCCTTCTGTCTCTGTCTTGTTGCTCCCTGTCATGTCTCCTTCTGTCTCTCTCTTGTTGCTCCCTGTCATGTCTCCTTCTGTCTCTCTCTTGTTGCTCCTTGTCATGTCTCCTTCTGTCTCTGTCTTGTTGCTCCCTGTCATGTCTCCTTCTGTCTCTGTCTTGTTGCTCCCTGTCATGTCTCCTTCTGTCTCTCTCTTGTTGCTCCCTGTCATGTCTCCTTTCTCTCTCTCTTGTTGCTCCCTGTCATGTCTCCTTCTGTCTCTGTCTTGTTGCACCCTGTCATGTCTCCTTCTGTCTCTCTCTTGTTGCTCCTTGTCATGTCTCCTTCTGTCTCTGTCTTGTTGTTCCCTGTCATGTCTCCTTCTGTCTCTGTCTTGTTGCTCCCTGTCATGTCTCCTTCTGTCTCTGTCTTGTTGCTCCCTGTCATGTCTCCTTCTGTCTCTCTCTTGTTGCTCCCTGTCATGTCTCCTTCTGTCTCTCTCTTGTTGCTCCCTGTCATGTCTCCTTCTGTCTCTCTCTTGTTGCTCCTTGTCATGTCTCCTTCTGTCTCTCTCTTGTTGCTCCCTGTCATGTCTCCTTCTGTCTCTGTCTTGTTGCTCCCTGTCATGTCTCCTTCTGTCTCTCTCTTGTTGCTCCTTGTCATGTCTCCTTCTGTCTCTGTCTTGTTGCTATGTCATGTCTCCTTCTGTCTCTGTCTTGTTGCTCCCTACCATGTCTCCCTCTTTTATTTCATGTGCTAACCTCCTTTTTCTTTGTTCACTTGATTGTTTTTGCCTTCATTTCCAAATTTCTCCTTCCTTTCATTTATTTTCTTACGGCCTTGAGGGGAAAGGCAGAAAGAAAAAGAAAATAATACCTTATACTCTCCTCCTTACTTTTCTTTTCTCTTTTTGTTTGTTCTCACTTCCTCTCTTTTTCAACTTCTCCTCACTCTCTTTGCACTTCTCCTTTCTTTCTTTACATTTCTCCTCTCTTTCCAGTCCTCTTCTTTCTCTTTCCACTTCTCATCACTCTTTCCACTTTCCCTCTCTCACTCCACATTTCATTCTCTCTTGACATTCCCCCTCTCTCTCTCTCTTTACATTTCTCCTCTCTTTCCAGTTCTCCTCTCTCTCTCTCTTTCACCTTCTCATCACTCTTTCCCCTTTTCCTCTCTCATTCCACATTTCATTCTCTCTTGACATTCCCCCTCTCTCTCTCTCTCTTTACATTTCTCCTCTCTTTCCAGTTCTCCTCTCTCTTTCTCTTTCACCTTCTCATCACTCTTTCCACTTTTCCTCTCTCATTCCACATTTCACCTCTCTCTCTTGACATTTCCCCTCTCTCTCTCTTGACATTTCCCCTCTCTCTCTCTTGACATTTCCCCTCTCTTTCTTTACATTTTTCCTCTCTTTCTTTACATTTTGCCTCTCTCTCTTTCTACATTTTCCTCTCTCTCTCTCTCTCTGTACACCTCTCTCTCTCTTTCTACTTCTCACTCTCTTTACATTTCTCCTCTCTTCCTTTATATTTCTCTTATCACTCTTTATATTTCTCCTCTCTCACCACTTCTCCTGTCTCTCTTTTTCCATTTCTCCTCTCTCTTTACATTTCTCCTCTTTTATATTTCTCCTCCTTCTTCCTCTCTCTCTTTGTTTCCACTTCCCCTCTCTCTCTCTTTCTCTTTTCATTTCTCCTCTCTCTCTCCACTTCTCATCTCTCTCTTTCCACATTCCTCCTTCCTTTCTCTTTAAATTTCTCCTCTCTCTCTTTCCACATTTCTTCTCTCTCTCTCTCTTTGTACACTTCTTTTCTCTCTGTTTCTAACTTCCTCTCTCTTTCAACTACTCCTCTGTTCCTTAATATTTCTCTTATCACTCTTTACATTTCTTGACTTCTCCTCTCTCTCTTTCCATTTTTTCTGTCTCTCTTTACCTTTCTCTTCTTTCTCTTTTTACATTTTTCCTCCCTCCTCTTCTCTCTCTTTCTACTTTTCCTCTCTCTCTCCACTTCTTTTCTCTCTCTTTCCACATTTCTCTCCTCTCTATTTTCACATTTCTCCTTTCTCACTTTGTATACTTCTCTTCTCTCTCTTTCTCACTTCCTCTCTCTTTGCACTTCTCCCCATTCTCTTTACATTTCTCCTCTTTCTCCACTTCTCTATCTCTTTCCATTTTCACATTTCTCTTCTCTCTCTTTCCACTTTGCCTCTCTCTTTCCACTTTTCCTCTCTCTTTTTCCACTTCTATTCTCTCTCTTTCCACTTCTAATCTCTCTCTTTCTGCTTTTCCTCCCTCTTTCTACATATCTCCTCTCTTTTTTTTCCACATTTCTCTTCTCTCTCTTTCCATTTCTAGTCTCTCTCTTTCTACTTTTCATCTCTCTTTCCACATTTCTCTTCTCTCTCTTTCTACTATTCATCTCTCTTTCCACATTTCTCTTCTCTCTCTTTCCATTTTTAGTCTCTCTCTTTCTACTTTTCATCTCTCTTTCCACATTTCTCTCTCTCTTTCCACATTTCTCCTCTTTTTTTCCACATTTCTCTTCTCTCTCTTTCCACTTCTAGTCTCTCTCTTTCCACTTTCCCTCTCTCTTTCCACATTTCTTCTCTTTTTTCCACATTTCTCTTCTCTCTCTTTCCACTTCTAGTCTCTCTCTTTCCACTTTCCCTCTCTCTTTCCACATTTCTCCTCTTTTTTTCCACATTTCACTTCTCTCTCTTTCCACTTCTAGTCTCTCTCTTTTCTCTTTCCCCTCTCTTTCCCATTTCTTCTCTTTTTTCCACATTTTCTCTTCTCTCTCTTTCCACTTCTAGTCTCTCTTTCCACTTTCCCTCTCTCTTTCCACATTTCTTCTCTTTTTTCCACATTTCTCTTCTCTCTCTTTCCACTTCTAGTCTCTCTCTTTCCACATTTCTCTCTCTCTTTCCACATTTCTTCTCTTTTTTCCACATTTCTCTTCTCTCTCTTTCCACTTCTAGTCTCTCTCTTTCCACTTTCCCTCTCTCTTTCCACATTTCTTCTCTTTTTTCCACATTTCTCTTCTCTCTCTTTCCACTTCTAGTCTCTCTCTTTCCACTTTCCCTCTCTCTTTCCACATTTCTTCTCTTTTTTCCACATTTCTCTTCTCTCTCTTTCCACTTCTAGTCTCTCTCTTTCCACATTTCTCTCTCTCTTTCCACATTTCTTCTCTTTTTTCCACATTTCTCTTCTCTCTTTCCACTTCTAGTCTCTCTCTTTCCCTTTCCTCTCTCTTTCCACATTTCTTCTCTTTTTTCCACATTTCTCTTCTCTCTCTTTCCACTTCTAGTCTCTCTCTTTTGCACATTTCTCTCTCTCTTTCCACATTTCTTCTCTTTTTTCCACATTTCTTCTCTTTTTTCCACATTTCTCTTCTCTCTCTTTCCTTCTAGTCTCTCTCTTTCCACTTTCCTCTCTCTTTCCACATTTCTTCTCTTTTTTCCACATTTCTCTTCTCTCTCTTTCCACTTCTAGTCTCTCTCTTTCCCTTTCCTCTCTCTTTCCACATTTCTCCTCTTTTTTTTCCCATTTCTTCTTCTCTTTCCCTTCTAGTCTCTCTCTTTTCACATTTCTCTCTCTCTTTCCACATTTCTTCTCTTTTTCCACATTTCTCTTCTCTCTCTTTTTCACTTCTAGTCTCTCTCTTTCCACATTTCTCTCTCTTTCCACATTTCTTCTCTTTTTTCCCATTTCTCTTCTCTCTCTTTTCCCTTCTATTCTCTCTTTCCACTTTCCCTCTCTCTTTCCCATTTCTTCTCTTTTTTCCCATTTCTCTTCTCTCTCTTTCCACTTCTAGTCTCTCTTTCCCTTTCCCTCTCTCTTTCCACATTTCTTCTCTTTTTCCACATTTCTCTTCTCTCTCTTTCCACTTCTAGTCTCTCTCTTTCCACATTTTCTCTCTCTTTCCACATTTCTTCTCTTTTTTTCCACATTTCTCTTCTCTCTCTTTCCACTTCTAGTCTCTCTCTTTCCACTTTCCCTCTCTTTCCACATTTCTTCTCTTTTTTCCACATTTCTCTTCTCTCTCTTTCCACTTCTAGTCTCTCTCTTTCCACATTTCTCTCTCTCTTTCCACATTTCTTCTCTTTTTTCCACATTTCTCTTCTCTCTCTTTCCACTTCTAGTCTCTCTCTTTCCACTTTCCCTCTCTCTTTCACATTTCTTCTCTTTTTTTTCCACATTTTCTCTTCTCTCTCTTTCCACTTCTAGTCTCTCTCTTTCCACATTTCTCTCTCTCTTTCCACATTTCTTCTCTTTTTTCCACATTTCTCTTCTCTCTCTTTCCACTTCTAGTCTCTCTCTTTCCACTTTCCCTCTCTCTTTCCACATTTCTTCTCTTTTTTCCACATTTCTCTTCTCTCTCTTTCCACTTTCCCTCTCTCTTTCCACATTTCTCCTCTTTTTTTCCACATTTCTCTTCTCTCTCTTTCCACTTCCCCTCTCTCTTTCACACTTTTCCCTTTCTTCTCTCTTTCCTCACATACTCTCCTACTTTTCCCCTGATGACATTTTACTTTTGTTGCAAACAGAATGATAATTTAAACCTTATGTAACATAAAACAGCAGACCAGCCATTTTTTTTTACCAGTTCGTTGGACGATATCAAGAACAAGATAAACATTTCAGTTACTGTAATAATGGAAAAAAATACTTAAATATTAAAACATAAATATTTTATATTGATTCAGCCTTGTTTTAATTCTGGTAACTTGAATTCCTGTCTATCTTCAATTACCTTGACATCATTTAATGATGTTAGGAATGAGGCAGGGGGTGGGTGTTATTGTTTTGTCATCATTTCTATAATGGAATCCCCCGCCCAATATTTCAAGAAGCATTTATTTATTCCAAATAGCATTTTATCTGGTGCCATTTGTATCCAGTATTTAATATGGTTTTGGTTTTCTGTTTTTAAATTATGTTTGTTAGACTTCATTATTGTAGAGAAATGAATAATAGTTCTTTGGTCAAAGCTTTTAGATTAGTAAATGTTGTAACCTAGGGAAGGTTACTAAATAGAATAATCACACAAAAGTTGGTAATAAATGATAATACATAAGACACGAACAACATATATAAGATTCACCAGCGGCACGTAGAAGTAATAGTCAACTGCTAGAAGTGAGTCAAGTGCATTCCACAATGAATCACCAGCTGCAGGATATCTACCAACTGCCCCACGTGGTCAGATGTGGCACAAGGCTGAATTTAATGTGGGGTATCTGAGCCCATAGGTTCTGCCAAAAATTCTCTGTAGACCCCATATAAAATGGGATTGGGGAGCTGTTTCCTGAGGCAAGACTATACTCTTCGACATAGCCTCGTCTGGGGATTCTCTTTGCCTCCAGGCAAAGAGTTTGACCAGCACAACTGGAGATGAATCTCCAACTGCAGACCAACATACAGTATTTACTACTGTATTTATGTGAATGGGAACATGCCCATTATTGTCTGTAGTATGCTACGACAGTAAGAATTTTACTTTAGTCATATTTTTGTTTGTAATGGACCAAACGGAAACAGATAAGAATTTTCCCTTATGGTGAAAAAAAATCATCATCATCATCATCATCATTCTTTTTCTTAATCTTCTTCTTCGTATTAGTAATCTTATTATCAATTTTAGTAATCAACAGTTAATAGAAGAGTGTGATTTAAGAAAGGAAGAAAAACATTCATTAGTCCAGTGACTCTCTGGACTAATGAATATATGTTTTCCACCAGCTGTATAAATAGCGGTGTCAGGCTACTGACTGCAGTGATTATTGAGTGGAACTATCCAGTCGAATTAGTGTGAATTATTGTGCGTCGATGATTTGATTTAGAATTTTCTGGATGTTAAGCTGAGCCGTGCTACTAACAAGGTATTCACTGAAATGGTTAATTATCTTTGGTTGACTTTTACTTCTTTGTTATAGTTTTATTTAACATTGAAGTCTTGAGTTATACTTAATTATTAACGGCCACTGTACATCACAAAACAATGTTAAACAATATTAAGCTCATTTCAGTCTCATGCCTTCACGCTGGTGGTGTTTCATTTATTTAGGCGTGTTTATTATCAGTACAACCATTGCCTATACTGCAGATTATGCACCAAAAGCCACTAGTATCGAGAATGTACCAATCTAGTGTGAAATTGCAGGGTTATTCCGAAAATGATGTTAAAACATTGCGCTTGATTACTGTTTTTGATTTATCGTCAATGAAATTTTGATCTCTTTCGTATTGTTCGGTCGCCATTACTGGCATTGTTTACATACATTTTCCTCTAGTCATAATACGCCGAAGCTTACTTAGTTAATGGCCTTTTTACAGCTTTTTGTTTCTTACTAATCCTGATTACTGTGTGATTTTT